GAAAACTATTTTGTAAACATAAAGAACAGAACTAATTAAAAAAAAAATCTATGGAAGAAAACTGTAAAGGGAGCTTTGTAATCAGTCTCAGTGGAGGTAGTCAAAGTGCTGTAGAAGTTCCTCAAAGAAACAAAACTTGAAGTAGGTAAGATATGGATACCTTACATGAAAATGTCATGGTTTTGCTACAATCTGCTATATGTATTTTGTCCCAACAAGCTGTAGTCTTTACTTTTACTCCTCATCTAAGCATAAACTATTTATTTTCTGGTATGACATAGTCTTTAAATTTGAAAATACTATCACTGAAATCAGTATCTCCAAACATGTCTTATGGAAAAAAAAAGGTAGCAACTTTAGACCTGAGTGCAGGTTTATTGCAATTGCATATGATGTTATAATCAAACTGTAGATATTTCCACTGCTGTGACTTATTTAACAAAACATTTCTGCTTCATTGAAGCAAGAATGTGTTTATTTCCTGGAACAAGTAGAGGCTAGTTTCCCAAGCTCCACACAGATTTCTCTCCTGCCCCCATCCTGTCCCCCCCACCCCAGCTTCCCATGAAGACAAGCAGAAGTAGTCCTGAAGAAGAATGAGTTTGGTTGGACATACTGTGCTATTATGATAATTTTTTTTTCAAAATATAATAGTGCAGATAATTACCTAAAAAAAAAAAAAAAAAAGAAAAAAGACAGGACTGTTCCTCTGGTGGTAGTTTGGCTGTAAAATGCTCCTGGCACCTAGGTGTTCATTCCCTCTCTTCCTTGACTGTCACAATTTTTTCCAATTAAACTGTTTGCACTGCCAAATTCTCGACTGAATTTACACATAAATGGGAACACCACTAACTGTAGACAGGTCCAGAAAGTAACAGTAATGTGCAAGTGCTAGGAACTAGTTTTTTAATACAGCTTGAAAAAGTTCAGTGTCACAGGTTCTTCTGCCTAAGGGAAAGCCTTCCAGAAGCTACAGGATTCTGGTGAATCTGATGTTATCCTGCACTTTGAATTGAGCACTAATACACCACTTGTAGGAATAGCTGACACAACCAAGTCGATTAAAATTAAACCAATAGAATTATTTTATCTGCCATCTTCTTCTGACCAAAGGAAGATAAGGTGTATGGTTTCTAATGTTTCTTTTTTATTTGCTAAGACAGACTAGATGAAGACGTAATGCTTGCTCAAAGAAAGCAGCAGTACTTTTTTAAAATCTGCTCCTTACTCCAGACTTTCCCACATCTCTCTTTCACTTGTGCCACTAGAATAGTTTTGGGGTTAATAACCTCATTACATTTTAAAATAACCTTAAGAAAGGAGTTTATTTATTTATTTTTATATCATAGAGAGATTCACAATCTAGCTGACTGTTTCATTACCAGTTTAAGCACAACCACTGGGGCAGCACAACACCAGCCTGAGCACACAGGAGAGTGAACTCTGCAAGCCTAAATTTATGCTGAGAAAATCCAGAATCATAGATACAGTTCAATGTCACTATTCTTCTGCTGAATAGATAGTAATTTGGAACAGTCTATGCCACGCCCCATTTCAGAAATTACATTTTTGATGGATTTTGTTTTCACTTGAGTTCCCAGTTCAAAGGACTCCTTTTCTGTCATTCAGTTGGCAAAAAAAAAAAAAGTCTCCAGGTAAGAAAAGTGAACATAAATTATAATTTAAAAAACATACTTTCTAATCTAATGTTTAGATGCTGACCCTATATATAGAATTGAAATTTACAGTTTATTTACCTAAACTAAGCAAATTAAAATATAACTATATCATTGTCTATTTAATTTTCTGACATCCTAAAAACACACATAAGTCATTGTGTCCCCTTTAAAGTTTACACAAAGGTGATAGCAATTCTCTAGGCTTCCAATATTCTCTTTACTTGTTCATTATAGAATCCTTTCAACTTTGCCTCTAGCAATTCACAAACTCATTTTTCCATGAGTAAATATTTAAACCAGATCTGTTTTAAAATGTCTACAGAAAGAAAGAAGATAAAAGCAAGTATTTAGATTTATAGCTAACCGGGTAATAATCAACTGCTACTAGTCCTGAAAGAACTTCATCCGTGTCTCAGCTTTAGCATGAACCTTTAGTCCAGGTAGGGGGCTGTGAGCCTTTGTGCCCTTATGGTAATGTTCTTAAGCAAACAAGAGATTGCCACACACCTCACAGGACAATTAATTCATTGAAACAGGACACTTAAACTTTTCCTTTTCATCTGTAATATGTTAGCTGCACTAATATTTGACTTTCTGTTTCACAGTGGAAAGAAAGGAGGATAAGAAAGGCAGAGAATTGGAACTTAGTCTTCTGATCCTTGAGAACTTGCCCCATACACCTAATGGTCCGTCTCCATTTAACTTCAAGTAATGCGGTCTTAAACATCTTAAGTACCAAAATATATTCAATATTGAAATCAACAGCAAACATTTTCAGCATTAGGTAGAAAAATCTTGCTTTCATACGCCATTATTTATACTTCCTTGTAGAATGCTTTTGAATTCATCTTAAAACTGAGATATTTCCACGTATTTGACGTTAAGTAAAACTCAAACAGATTTCAGTTAATTTACCTACTATTGTAGGAATAACTTCCTAGGCTGCTCCAAGGCAGGCATGTACACTCTCCTGAACTGAGACAGCTTATATTAAGAGACCTGAAGAACCAATATACAAATTTTAAAAAAAAAAAACCCTCCTAAAACCACAGTGCCATAAGGTAATCATACTTCATGGTAGGATTTCTGTTATTTAAGATTTCAGTGGTTGGCTACCATCTCAATAAAGAACATTTTAATTATTTCAAACTTTCTAGTATTGCTTCTAAACAAGCTGGAAATACTTGCCAATTATCACAACTTGCCACCAGAAATATAAAAACCAAGCACTTGTTAACATTTCTTTTATTTAGTCAAAAGCTTTGTCACAGTTATGAGATTAGGCAACAAAAAAATCTCTAATCTTAATCTACCATTACAGACTGTGCCAGAGAAAATGCTCTTTTCCATGAGGTTGTCTCTTGCCTTTTTATAATCAGCAGTAGCTTCCTAACATTTCAGTCCACACATAGCCTCATTTACAAAAGCCAAATCATTGTACACAAAACAATTCTGACTTATTTCAGAAGACTTTCACCATCTTTTAAAAATAAAAATTTGTGATTTTGGAAAAGATAGAAATACAAGCCACTAACTACAGTCAAAGTAGAAAGATAAGAAAGGCAATTTCTTCTTCCTCCCTGTCTTCAGCTGTGCCAGAGAAGAGAACTCACGTTTGAAAAGCATACTTTCTTAGAAGGCAACAAACAAGAAATGAGGAAAAAGTGCACAAAATTAATTTATTGGTTATAGAACCTAGATCAGAATAATACTGTTGCACTTAGTATTTTACTAACTTTCTCCTTTGGTAGGTAAAAAGGAGAGTAAAAACAAATGAAGGTTTTAATATTTAATTTTGATCAACTGGTGGATTAAAATAAATGTAAACATAAAATTGCCTGTTACGTTTCAAACTGTCTAGAAATAGCTTCTGGAACTCACTGATTTTGAAGTGTATACTCCAGTAAATCAAGATCAGGATTTCATTCTTGGCATCAAACTCCATAGCATTTGCTATGAGGAACATACTCTAAATAGTTTTAAGATGTAATACTGCCTACACTACAGAAATAGTTGAAAAATTTTGAATTTACTTTCTAGACTTTCATTGTACATGGGTAGGAGTTAAGTCTTTTTACAGACATCTGATTTACTCTTTTTCAATGCTGTAATCTTTAATAAAAAATAAATTATTCTGATTCAGTGGTATGTAATGAAATTCTCTGAAACTATAAGAGAAATGCAAAGGAATCCATACTTATAAAAAATTTTACTATTAAAGATACTGCCTGAGAATCTGGCTTGGTAAGTTTATTACCCAAAGAGCACTAAAACTAGAATGGAAGCAAATTAAGGGAGTCTGGCATATTTAAAAACCAACTGTCTAAGCAATACATGGAATGCTGAAGAATCCTTATTTCATTACTTTTAATGCACTATAAAACTATTTGAAAAATATGGTTTTAATTCACAATAGCGTGTATTTGGTTAAATTTTCATTTAGCACAATTAAAAAAGAAAGAAAAATAACCAGCGTGTCCTTATTAAAGTAGCATGAAACATTTCAGAAACTTGACAATTCAGTTGTTTCTGTGTGGAACAGGGAAAAAAAAACAACTCCCATATCCTAACTTCATAGTTACAGTAGCAAAAAAGTTAACCCAAGGTTTTCCACAAGACTATGTTGAATCAATTTTATTTTTCATAGTATAAAGTAGACAGCAGTAAATGCAACAAGAATAATTCACTCCTTTTACTGAATTAAAAACTTGATAGGATGCAGACCGTCAACCATATTGGGAGAAGCAGTAAAAAGGCTTCTGTTGCAGAAAAAAGAGGTTCTCTCTTGTTAAAGATTCTAATCCACTCTTGGGCCAAAACCAGAGGAACTGATTACCAATTTCCTTCTTAATGTGTATAGTACTATAAAGATATTTATCTATGTTATTCTCTCTTACTGCAACCTTAGTACAAAAGTTATTTTTAAAGGTATCATCAAATTACTCATACTCACTGAATTCATAAGGAAGCCTACCTGATAGTAGATAGAAGGTCTAGGAAGGCTGCCTTTCTTTTGGCATTAACACAAACCAGAAATTAAATTAGTATGACAACATCAGAAGTGGACCTAAGACTCCCTGAATCATGTGGTATGACAGGAATGTTTACCCTCAAGTGACTGGTCATATAAGGGAACTTTATAATAACAGTGCTGGACTTGCTGAAGTGTATTAACAAAATAATTTACCAACATGAAAATGAGCCCTGAAAAGAATTCTTCATAATTGTGACTGTCACTTTTTGCCAAGCTTTCAAGTTAGAGCAGAAATCATTCTAAAGCAAAAACGTTAATCCCACTCATACAAGAGGAAAAGTACTTACAGTGAGGCTCATAGGGAGGAGGAGGATCACCACAAGGAACACATTCCATGTCTTGAAAACCTCCAAGCTTAGTCTTCCTATAAAACCTAGAAGATAAATGAATGAAAAAAGTGATTAATCAAACCTGGTTATTTTTCCTCACAAAATAAATCAGGTGTTTTAATAAGAAATCTCATTAACTGCAAACTTTTTTTCAATCTGTGCCTCAATACAAAACTATCAGGAAACAGAAGAACAAAATTACATTAGATACTAATTAGATAGATCTAAAGTAAAGTCAGGAAAAATATAGATCTGTTAGTCCAAATGCATAGTCACTCTAATCTTCATAAGAAATAAAGAGTTCTGTGCATTTCAGATAGAAATCAGAGCCCTGATTTCCACATGGATCACAACATACAAGGCAAGCGTGAGGAACTTACATTATGCAAGCTTATTTACACATTTATAAAATAAAAAAGTGAAATGATTCATCTACATAAATCTCCTAAAAGAAAGAAGATATTACAAGTTAATTATCACCACTAACAGTGTAACAGACCAGACTGTCAGTGCCTTCTTGGTAAAATCCCCAAGATATCCTCTAGCTCAGAGAACAAAAATAACCCAAACAAAACCACTGAAACTGGTTCATTTATGTACTTGTATAGAAGGGTGCCCCTGCGCCCCCCCCTTTCCCCCCCAAGTTTCAACCTGCTGTGTGACGAAATCTTCAGAAAATAAGACTATTCTGATTGTTTTTTAGAACAGCAACAGCAAAACCTTAAAAATGGCATTTCAGAACTATATTTTAAAAATCAACAATCCCTCTCTGACTCTTCCTTCTCCTCTAGGCAAACTTTTCACGACCAAACAAAATCACAATGTGCATAGACTGAGTGCGAATTAAAAAAGTGTCCAGGAGTCCAAACCTACATTATCCAATCCTCCACTGTGTTTTCATATTCTCACTTAGATGTATATTTTAAAAATAATAGGTAACAAGCATTTCAAGGTACAAAAAAATGGATCATGCAAATAGAAGTGGCAGATGTTTTGCTAATAGCAACGGCAGGCCACAAACAGTAACAGGTGAACAATGAAACAAAACTCTAAAGCAAACCAAACAGCCAGCTGCTCATTCCTGAAGAAATCAATGCAAAAACATTACAAAAAATCCAAAAGGCTGTTGTACCCAAGGAGACATTTTATTCTCAATACCCTTCAACAACTTTCCTTTTGCGTTTATATTTGAAGAACTTACTGACTACAGTGATGGGCAGAAGCCTACACTCCTAGAGCAGGGAAAAAGAGCAGTACCAAATGAAAAACACAGAACAAGTGTTATAGTTGATATCTGTATGAGACTATGACATCCTTTAAAGAACTCAACCACAACTTGACCCTAGTCAGGTAGATTGGTTAGTCTGTCTTTCAGTCAGCCGTTAGTACTAAGCTAGACTCAATATCTGTGTTCTGCTCAAGATGAGTACATCAGTTGTGTTTTCTGTAGTGGTAGTGGCACATTAAATAAAAGGTACTAACTCTACTGATGCTAAATTAATAAAACTGCAAAAGCCATTAGTGTATGAAGTCTGTATCAGCTAAAGCAAACAGCTTTCCAACTGCTCAAGAAACTCATACTTTAACAATGTGAACAGAAACAGATGCAGGGGCTGTGAAACTGAAGGAGCCACTGGGATCACTGACTCTGAATGAAATGTGTTAATATTTGGTTTTAGCTGACGTGCTGTCTGTAGTGTTTTGAAGCTGAACAATGGGGAACGGCCTGCTGGAAAACCATGCAAAACAGAAATAAATATGACTGCTGAGGAGTAAAACATTAGCTAAACCATTTTATTTGGCTAGCTATATCCTCTACTCACTTAGGCACCATCTAAACTGATGGACAGGTATGAGTGGTGGTGTGCTCTACAGTTCTATTCTACGAAATACCCAGACCAGACGACCTGTGACTCCTCTACCCATGACTCCCTCCCTCTTGTTTCCAGCTTTGCTGCCAGTAAAAGCAGGTTGTGGCAACAGCTCTAACACATATTCAACACATGCATCTAGAATACATTCTAGACCAGAATACTAAAAGCATTCCCAGGTCCTCCAGTTTACATTTACCCTTAATTCATGTTTTATTCTGGTTTCTCTTTTGTTCTTCTCATCTTACAAAGTTTAGCTTATATTGTTTACATTGCAAGAAGAAAATCTCCCTGCTGACAGCCAAATAAGCCCTACAATACATATATATTAATATGCAATAAATAAACACACCATGTGGCTGCAGCCAGTATCAGAAGTGGTTGCAAGTAACAACTAACTCCCAGGGCTGCACCTTCTCATACTGTGTCTTAAACTAACAGAATTTACCAGAGTTTTGCTAACTTTAAAGGAAAAGGCATCACTTCTGACTTGAGAAGATTAACTGTAAGAGCTTCACCAGTCTTCAGTTATTTTATCGCTGGTATTAAAAAAAGAGTATACAAAATAAATAAAATGCCTGATAAATATATAGAAAAGAAACGTATGAACTTTTAAGCATCTCTCAAACATAACAGCCATAGTACTTTCAGGCTATATAACTGGAAATTGGTTCTCACAACCTCCTCCTATCAATTCAACTACCAATCCATAATTCAAAAAAAGCATCAGAAATGCCTTTTTACAAATTCATGGCAGGGATTTATAATAGTGGAACCTGGCCACAACATAAAGAATAGACTTTTGGAGATCTGAACACTCAGTACTACAAAGAAAGAAGACTAGCAACAGAGAACTGGGATGACTGGACAACAAACTAAGGGTTTGCAACAGCAGTTTCAGTCAATCTCCACGCTATTATAATTTGTTCCAACACAATTATTTCAGACTCATTTATGCTTCTCAGCCAGGATCATGCACTGTGATTTTCCAAATACCATAAAGGAATTTCAGGAGCATAAACCACAGCCACTGCTTTGGACTTAAAAATACATGGGTATGAGAATTTTTAGGCATTGACCTAAGGAAGGGGAAAAAAACTAAGCAAAGAATGGGATCATTCTTCAAAAAGGTAAACTGTGTATGTTTTCAAATACTTAATTTGTTAAAATAATGAAACAAGTCACCAGTAACACTCAATATTTTGAAGTATTTTGCTCAGTCACTGCATAGACAATAGTCTCCCAGATCAGGTAGGTATTTATCAAATCACTTTTACAGATGAGATAGTTAAGACTGTAATTCTGAAGTTATGTGCTCAGATCATCCAGTAAATGATCGGCAAGGCTAAGATTAGAACCTAGGACCTTCATACATACATAAAGGACATAAACACTTATCTGGAAAACATGACCAAGCAAACCTTAGCGCAAAGGACGTCTGAATTTTTTGCAGCCTCACCTTCAGAAATGGACTTACCCTGGTAAACAGTCTCCACATAGTGCATTGCTGGTGGCAGAACAGTTGGCCTTCTGAAACCGGTTAACTAAGGCACAATCCAGACAAGGCTTGCACTTCTGAAAGCCCCAGTCTTCCTTGAATCTGTTTGGCCTGCATGTCATGCACTGTGCATCCTCCCCGTATCCAAAGCCGCATTCCTGTAGGGATTAACAGGCAATACCAAGCTATTCAGTCACTGAAAGCGTGAACAAGAAGAGAATGCTGGGATAAAACGAAGACCTAGTGTAATTATTACTGAGAGTAAGTCTTTCTAGAGACAAAAGCCATCCTTTCAACAAGTTCAAATGTGTCTTCCACTGCTAATAATCTCCCTTACCTCTAGAAGTAATACTTAGTCATCCACTTTATTCATGAAACCACTGTGTATTTGAATGATAAAGGGCTTCAAGGACTCCCACAGTTTCATTATTACTAGCTTATGGCAGAATTATTGAGCTGTCTGTTTTTTAATTAGGTCAGTCATGTGAAAGTGCAGAAACTGGGACAAGTGAACTATAAAGGCACTTACTCAGTTACAAAAACAGCAAAAGAAGTACTTTGATATTAAGGTTCATAGCTAAGATGAACAAAGTTAATTGCCAAAGAGAGTGCGCTGATCTTCAAAGGCTTGGAATTTCTGATACCAAATGAAACAGAGCTGGTTAATGACCATCAGCTAGGCACCAAACATTGCTTAGCCACTAAGAATTTCAGAAACTCAATCTGTTCCAGTCCTAACAGTTCTTAAACTGCTGGAAAAGTTTAATAGCTCTGCAGATCACAGAGAGGCATGACAGTTCACTATACAAGGAATATTACTTGCTATTGTTGGTTATTTATCCCAAATTTAGCTGTTTAGTGAAATTATTTCCATTTATTTACAAAAGGACACCTAATACAACCGACAGGTTACAAAGAGAAACACTTCACCTAACAATATGTAATAGTTTGGAGACTGAATTCTGAAACTGAACTCATTAACAAGAACTATCAATATATTTTTATGTCACTTTTTTAAGGTTACTAAAAGTCGTGATACCCTTTTCTCATTTGAATATAATAATTATTTTTTTTTGCTGTACTTTGGAGTTCGATTTCATGCATTAGCAACACACTGCAAAATACAACAGGAATACAAGAAATCACTGGAAAGGACTTATTTGGAGAGGAGTAGGTGGGCAAGGCACACACAATATGGGGACCTCCTACTATAGTATGTGGTCTCAGTGGAAGAACAGGGCATCTTCCCTGTGGGAAAACTGCAGGAAGTCTTCAACTGGTGAAACTTAAAAGGAGGTTTCCACCAGTTTCTTCCTCAACATATGCATGTTAAATGTATAAAAATAACTTTTTTCCAAAGTCACTCACTTAAGCAAACTTGCTGCAGTCAAAAAAAAATCCTCCAAGGTTTTACATTGGGAAAGCATGTATGGAACAAGCTATGTGATGGGAGTTGGCCAACATGTATTTTATTGCCTTTAATTTCCAATTATAAAGTAACAATAAGCAACTTCAGATGCATTTTATTGGACATGTTAAAAATAAAATTGAAAATTTTATGTTAAGAATGTATTTATCATCCTCTGAAGAAGAGCAAGCACTCAAGCACACAGAAAATAGTTCTAATAAAGCAGCTACAAATGAACACTAAAACCAGAGTTCTTCCTCTATCTCTAGACCCAGAAATTTTTTTAAAAAGTTTTAATTCTTGTTTGGGTTTTGTTTGTTTGTTTGTTTTGTTAGCTGTTTTTTGTTTGTTCATTTTTTTTTAGCTGACATGTAGTTTTTTACTATTGCTATTACGCAGATTAAGGAGCAGACAGACAAATCACTGCAGTTAGTAACAAAAAAAAAAAACACCAACAAAAAAACCCCACAAACCAAAAGCACACTACAGTTTCATACACTGTACAGCACAGTCCTCTTGTGAGACACTGACCCTAATAAAGCTGGCAGGGAAAAGGGGATAAAAATATTTCTTCCTTTTTTTTTTTTTTTTTTTTTTTTAAAAATTTACTTCAGCCTTAGAACATTTTCTACCATTTCATTTCAAAACTACCAGTTTCTGCTAGGAATCAATGCCAAACAATGGATGTTCTAGCAGTTCTATCTTACGTCACCTAACTCTATACAGTTGTAAGACACAGCTACATGATTACCACTGGGTAATAACTTCTGCTAGGAGATTTTGCACTTCCTAAGTATAAATAAACTTTTTGTCTAATCTCATTATTTCTTAACACATTCTTTCTAAATACTTACTTGGCATTTAGATCATTCAAATAGTAGTGTTACAGGATATATCACATAGCTCAGTCAAACCATGTTTATTTGGATCTTTTGATAAATCACTTGGAATCAGTTCCTCCCAAGTCCTAGTAAACTCTCAAATATATGGCTTAAATTGACTTAATTATAAGTTTTCCTTCCCAGACTACCTTTGAAGTTTCTGATCAAAAACAAGCAAACACCAGGAAATAAAGTTAAAATTAAATGCCTTCAGCTCACTGGCCCAAACTACCAAAGCTTGAGTCAGTTGTTTCTAGCTCTGTCAGATTTGCATTGCTGTAGCTGGACCTACAGATGCATCTTAGTGGTCCTTTGTAACTTGGAATGGTTTACTTTAAAGCTATAAAAATGGTGGTTAAAATATAAAGAAACCTTCTGCCCAAGGAATTTACAATTTCCAGTCTTTTCAAAGATGGCTTCTAAGTCCCCACCAGGAATTCTGCAGATAGAATCCACAACAACTACAACTTCATGTATGTGCTTTTTATGTTCGCATAATGTTTGAGGCAGTTAACTGCCTGGCAGGTGCAAATAAATATTTAAGCTTGTAAACCAGGCAGAACTTCAAACAGATCTGCCTGTACTTATAATTAACCACATTCCCCAAACTAAAGGATATGATTTAGATGATGGATTCAAACCCTTTGAAAACTTGGACTTCGTAATTTAGCAGTCCAGCAAAGATGCAAACAATTGAGTGTTCATCTTTTACAGCACATGTGCAAAACTGATGTGCACCAGTTTTCTCAGTGCCCTGTTCACAAAGTTGTCAAATTATATGGCTGATGAGATCTGAATAGTTCCCAACTCCCCTCATCCCTTCCATCCTCCCACTCATATTTCTAGAAGATGGCTCATGTCCTGTGGCAGTTCACCTCCAACTGCAGAAAAGAGAAATAAAACTTGGAACCTCAATTAGCTAGATTTCAAAATAAGGTGGTTTTTTTTTGTGCCAGAAAGAAAAGAGAGCAGGTAAATATATGTTATATTTATTTCTCCTATCGTGAAGTGCAGTATGAAGAACACCTGGCCCACTCTTCCCTTTCTACTTCCCATTTTCAATGCTACCATCAATGGTACCAGGTAACATTAGTGAAAAATTTATCTCTACAATGATACACAGTACAAACCATGAAAACCCAAACAGTTACGTAGAAAACTGCATTAAAATTAACTTAAAAACAAAATCAAAACAAACCAACTCAAAGTTCAAATACATTTCTATTTTCTGGATATTTGTACAGCTTTCACTATCACAGTACTGTGATATCTCATTCTCTGTAATGTATGTGCCCCAGAACTACTTTCTTCAGAGCCTGGTTTCACTAAGGTATTAAGTGAGATGACTGGTCAAGGCCAACTAGGAATCTGTAGCAAACTAGTTAACTACACTCATAACTTAGTTTCAGGCTAAAAAAATTAAACACATACAATAATATGGGCACCTCTTGAAGCATTTCCTTGGCAGTGTTAGCATTTTCTTTCAGTATCTAGTACCCAAAGACCAATGCAGACAGAATGACCAAAAGTATAGCAGACTACAAAGGATAATGGAGTTAAGTGGTACGGTTTTTCCCTAAAAGTTGAATGTAATGCAAAAAGTAAATGAACAGTAAATTAGATTTTAAACAATTAAAATAACCTCAAATTTCATTTAAAAAAATACTTTCAGGTGTTATTAAGATGGTAATCTGCAAGTACATTTTAGAATTTGTTTCTAGCTCCAGTGATTATCCACAACCTATGTAAATCTCTAGACAGCATGGCACAGAGAAGCTCCACTTAGGCCACAATGATCACAAAAATATCTGGGCATTCTCAAGAAAAAGGCTTCCAGTCATTAAGACACTTTTAATTGTTATCAGGTCATGTAACAGGTTGCAGCACTACACTGGTGCTGAGAAATGAAGTTTTTAGTAATACCTTTGAGTATATGGCCTTGTTAAACAGCACACAGTTTTAGCTTCCAAAAGCAGTGTGGATCAGCCTCATCTAGAATCCAATAATCAGCTCCACCTCCCTGCAGAATTCTCCGAGCAGGACAGGCTGCAACAGTGTGCTGCAAACATGTCAGATTTAGCTGCTGTGGTGAACTGCAGATTCAGAACTAGTTACATGATACGAGGCTGGGGATTTTTGTTCCCTTTTTTTGTCTCTTGCTATAAAGGATGTCTGAAGTTGCTTTTCTACACAGACAGGAAGGTCAATCAACGTATCATAGGTTGCTTCTTTGCACCAGGTGTATGATGAAGAAAAAGGAGACCTGCTTCTTGCCTCAGAAAATGACTGAGCACTAGTTTGCAACTAAAACACTCACCATATAATCATAAACCAGCCCAGATTGCATAGAATCTTCATGGAACATTTGGTCCAGCTTTTCATGGGACAGAGAACTGAGATGAGATGATCTAGCGTCCTGTCCAACTGCATCCTAAAGACCTCAAGTGATGGGGACGCTACCACATTCTTGGGGAGTTTGTTCCAGTGAATGGTTCATTGTACATAAACAGTATTATTTACAGTTCTCTGCAAATAATTTCTTTCTTATACAGAGATTAAACCTCTCTCCTGGTATAACTTCTACCCATTGTGCCTGGTCTTGTCTATGTGGTGCCTTGTGAAAAGAGAACCTTCATCCTCGTTTCATTCTGTGGCCTCTGTCTGTCCTGTTCCACCAAAAACTTCCTGAGTTACCTTGTGCAAGCTGATTTCTTAGTGTCTCATGTATAAATTAAGAAAAGACAACAGTAATTCCTGAACTTAGAAAGGTATTATGAAAAGCTCACATAGCATTGCAAGAAAGGCCATATAAAAAGTTCAAGTAAATAGTTGTAAAAATAAGAATGGTTGCATGTGCATGTTGTCATGGAATACAGTTCCTATTTTTCTACAGTCAGTAGTAGAGAAATCTACAGATTTCCATTGTAACTAAGATGAAGCAGTTTCTCATACACCGGAGTGAGGCCAGGGCTCTGTAGTCCTTGACATTGGACCTGTCTGCTTCAGCTTACTCAGCAGCAGTTCTACCTGAACTGGGTTTCAAGGGAAGGAAATAGAGACATACATTTACACCAACCAGTCGCATGGTCCACTGCTGCACGATCCAACAGCTGGCCTTCTGTAGTCAATAATATAGGCTAAGGTTTTTTGTTACTAACATAAGAAAGAAACCTGTCAGTCTATTGCTTACAACACTTTTGGGGTGGGGGAAGGAACCAAACCTAAAAATCCACTTATGGCATTGTATTTTACTATATACTTACACATACAGTCATGCTCACACATACAGCAGTATATCCAGTTTTATCCCCAAGCATTAAATATTTGCTACGAAAGCAAGACACAAAAGCTGTTATTAAGAAACTGTTATTAAATTACAGCATAATTATATCATTGCTTTCTCACACTGAAAAAACCTAAGCAAACAAAACGCCCCCTGTGTGGCAAATTACTTCAAGTATATCATTTAAACTCTTTTCCCTTTGCATTCTGACCTTTGACTTAAAATACTTTGTTGCTTCAAGCTGTAGTTCAGCAAGACTACTTTCAACTGCATTTCATTAAGAGCCACCACATCACATTCTTCACTATGATTCACAGAAAATTGTACCTCTCTTTATGAAGGAAATTACACTTCCACTCACATTTGGATTTGAGCAAAATCTTTTTAGTTACTTCAGTTCTAGTGCAGTAGCAAAAAATAGTATTTGAAACCCTATTCACGTCTGGGAGAAGTATTTGCGGACACACTGAAATTAATCAAGCATTCATATTTTCAGAAAAACTAGTCCCAAAAATGAGGACTAAGAGGCTATAAACAAAAGTAGTTAAAGTAAAAACATAACTTGAGTAGTGTAGTATTGAAAACTATAACCTTCCTGTTTTAGTTTAGCATTTCATTATTAGTCACAGAAGTCATAATTGTTCTGGATGGAACAGACCTTCAAGACCATCAAGTCCCACCATTAACCCAGCACTTCCAGGTCATCACTAAACCATGTCCCTCAGCACCACATCTACACGTCCTTTAAGTACCTCCAGAGATGGTGACCCCACCACTTCCCTGGATAGCCTGTTCCAGGGCTTTACAACCCTTTCTGTGAATAATTTTTCCTTGTATCTAATCTAAACTTCCCCTTGCACAACTTGAGGCTCTTTCCTCTTCTCTTATCACTTGCTACATAAGAGAAGAGACTGACCCCCATCTCACAACAACCTACTTTCAAGCGGTTGTAGAGAGTAACCAGGTCTCCCCTGAGCCTTATTTTCTCCAGGCTAAACAACCCCAGTTCCGCAGGAGATCCTCACAAGACTTGTTCTCTAGATCCTTCACCATCTTTGTTGCCCTTCTCTGGACATACTCCAGCATTTCAATGTCCTTGATGAAGTTAGTGGCCCAAAAATGAACACAGCATTTGAGATGTGGCCTCACATGCATTGAGTACAGGGAGACGATCGCTTCCCTAGTCCTGCTGGTCACACCGTTTCTGTTAGAAGCCAAGATGTTGTTGGCCTTCTTGGCCACCTGGGCACACTGCTGGCTCATTCAGATAGCTGTCGACCAGAATCCCCAGGGCTGTTCTATTAAATTGAAAATGCAATGACTGAGGGCATTAGTTTTTATGCATTTGGTTTTTATTTGCCAACTCGGTAAGTATGCCACACCAATGCAGGTAATACTGCTTTAGTAGGGCTGCTGTTATAAGTGCCACATTTACAGGTGCCTTTATAAATTAAAACATGCCCTAGAACCTCTTCCGTCCTCAAATCTAAGGCCAATCGGAAAAAAAAAAAACAAAAAAAAAAAACCCAAACAAAACATCTGAACAAAACCACATCCATACTGTTAGTGATCTTCAAACTATTTCAACAGCACTGTTTGTATAACTAAACCTTAACTAATACTGCCTAACACAGACAGTAATCCTTACTAAAGTGTGAAACTAAATATTTCTGTTAACACACTGAACGCTAGCTACAGTGGGTGGAGGGATAGGGAAAAATGTGTCACTCAATTTGAGCAAATCTTTTCAAACCACCCACAAACCACAATACTTAACTTGTGATTTTTTTTCAGAGCTGAATATAGTAAGAAATACATAGCCATAAACGGAAAGCTTTTTTTCCCCAGTTGTTTCAACACAAATACACACCAGACTTAGTAATGTTTCATGTCTAAAAGCTTTCAAAAATAACATTGCAAATGCCCCTTGGATCTACATAACATAATTGCCTACAAAAGCAAGAGAGCCAGAAAATTAAAATTTCACTCCTCCTAAATAACACACTAAATTCTACCTTTATCATCCTTTTTACACTATTTGTAAGAGTACAAAACAGAGTTTTGTCCTTCTGTATGGAAAGGCACTGGGCAGGGCAGCTACTCCTCTCTCACTTTATGGCCCCACCTATCAGGTATTGATCAAACTGCATAGTTATGTCTGGGCCACAGTCCTACACTAACGATAGGCAGGATGCAGGTATAGTAGCTGGACACTGAACGAAGAGTCTTATGGATGACACTTGGCAAGTTTGTACACCCTTCATGATACCAGCTTGCCTGACCATCTTCATGCCTCTAGCATGTCACACCTGCTCTCCCAAACCATCCAGTCTCTCCATGACACATAACCCATTCTGTTATCTCTTTCACCTCCAGTGACTGAGTTAGTGAATCTCACCACAGCCTTCCCTCACATTTCAGCTCTATCTTCCTTCATTGCACTCTCTCCTTGATCATACAACAGAACCTACTTTCTCTGCTGAAAGCAACCAGGATCCCTCTCATGACTTGCATTCAGACTTCGATTTTTGGTGGAAATTTTGCCAAGTTAACTTTCTAGTTCTACTAAATCCTAGTCCATAACTTCAGTCGCCATTCATCTTTGTTGATTTATTTCTGTGCTCCTAAAAACCCTTTTAATTCCAAAACTTTCATGGGGATTTTCTTTTGGAAGAGATACAGTTGTTCTAAAAGAAAAAGCATTTACATAAGACTCACGATAACAATCTTTCCTTCTGCATGATATTAACAAGGACTTCTTCTGTGTTGTCTATATATTACCACATATTCTTCTGGCCTCAACCCCCACAGTTACTTAACACAGCATAAAGATATGGATTAGGTTTACAACTTAGTAAAAATGCTATAAAACAAGGAAATTGAGCCTCATTTGAATCTAGCTTCCCAAAACAAAGTGCTCCAACCACTGAGCTAGTGAAAACAGAACAATCACTCATCTCCCAGCTGCTCTACAGAAATCTCAGTTCTCACTTGAATCCTATTCTATATTTATATGTTTATTCCCTTATTTTTATTCTACATTGTTCTGTTAAGAAAAGTTACCGTATAGAAAATATTTAAACACTGTTTATGGTGGCAACTTCACCTAAAATTCAGAACTGATTCTGAAATTCAGCACTGTAAGAATCAAGTCCTCCCCCATCTCAGTGGTGTGTACCAATCACCAGTTTGAAATGAATGAATTTTTAATTAATTATTAACTTGAGAGCCCATACCCATATCCTCTAATGAAACTGCAATTAATAAAGTAGGCAGTATCATTTTCTGAGCTGAACATTTTATATAAAGAGAACCAGAAAACATGGTACTTGAAACAATATAAAAGGTTCAAATGCCAAAATAATAAAAAATTATAATAAAAAACCTATTTACACTTAAGTATAGATATCTGTTATAAAATAATACATAAGTAAATGCACCCACTGGAAACAAGGTAAATTCCAGACAGCATGATTTGCTTACCTTTGAGAGTTCCATTCCAGGTCCACATTGCTTGCAGGGGATACAGTTTCCAGTGTGGTCCCTAAATTCTTGCTCTCTGCAATCTCCAGTCTCACAAATTACCCCACTTATCTTAAAAAGTAAATTAAAAAAAAAAAAGAAAAAAGTAAACTCACCAAAATATAATTAATCTGTGATTAACATATAATTTATACGAACTCAAAATCTGAGAAATAAATCCATGTTTCTATCTTAAAAAAATAACTTTCTGCTTTATAAAATAACTTCAAATATGACAATGAAAATTAAACATCTAACTCCAAATACAGGTAAGTGGTGTGAATTTCAAAGGTCCTCAGTACTCAGTGACTTGCAATAATGTTACAATCATTAGAAGACCTGCTTGATGTTTAGCACCTGTGGAACATTAAAACACTTAATTGTTTGAACATGAATTTAATATTATGAAAAGTGCACATAAAAAGTAAAGCTACAATTTTCATGACTGTAAGCTATGTCATATCACATTAGACTGCCATGGTTCATTTACTTGTGATTTTTTCTTTTCCAAATTATGTTATTACAATTGAATAACTAAGCTAAAATCTGTTCTTTTAAACATAAATATTTACAGATTTTAAAAGGTCACTTAAAACTATTGGAAACTTCTAAAAGCCTCCAAACTTGTATGAATAGTATAATTCTAAACTTTACTATCACTTTATATTTAATGGGCCAAATAAAAGGCAATCCAATTTTTACCTTCAAAGGCATTTAAGTACATTATCTGACCAAATCAGAAACTAAGGTTATGAAAAACACCATAAGAAGTAATATCAGCCATGCAAAGTCTCCGTATAATCACTGGAATCCTACCCAGGAACATTAGCAAACCCTGTAAACTCCCTCAATAGAATTTTAAATAAAATGTCTACGTACAGACTGCCTTCACAGGAAGTGCTCTCCACAATTGCTACTAAATTCTGACTTTGTATATAAGACTTTTCAGAAAGACCAAAGCCTTCCTGATAGCTATGAAGCATTAATTACCCTCAGTTCTAGTGCTTGTCTCTGCAAGCCAGGGTTGAAGTACGCTTAGCAGGCAATGTAATTGTATGCTATGCCATGTTCTGTTGAAAACTGAATACTCCAAACTCCTCAGCTACGTATATAGCACACTGTACTAAGAGCCAGTCCCTGCAAATTGCCTAAATTTCCTGCCACCTCTCTGAAGTGAAGCAGTATCACCATCACAGCACTGTATTAATCTGCATTTCCTATCCTAGTCCAGTCCTTCCACGAAGAGGCTCACAAGGTAAAAATTTTAATTGTATGTAAGGAGCAAGAAATTATACAAATCAGTTGACCAAGCTCACTTTTTAATTGACAAAATGCACATGTAATCGTCTGTGTATATGTGTTTAAGTACTTTAGTGTTGGCAGTAATGTGCAAAAGAAAAGACACCATTCCTTTGTCCAATGTAATTTTTTCAAATTCATACCTGGAAATACAACCCGCATTAATTTTAAACTTACCAAATATGCTAGTAAAATTATGAGCATATTCAGTTTATCTTTTCCTTGAAATCCTTTAGCATCCATTTTTTACACTTAAACTTTTCTCTCTGAAAAACAACCAAACATTATATTTCACAATGTTGTTTGAACAGCAAAAGTCCTATGTCCATAATAGTTCATGTCATTCAACATGTCAAAATATTAGGTTAACGCCATTAAAATACTTCAGATGTTTTTCTGGAATCTAAACAACATGCTCTTTTTTAATTATCATGCTCTTTTTTAGAAGACAAGGCAATATACACAAAGTTTGTATAGCCTTCAATCTCAAAAGAAAAGACTGCTATCAGTCAAGATTAGAGAACATCAGCATTTGTAAATCTAACATCCTTAACACTTTTCTTGCTTGTTAGATGCCCAACTAAATACATGAGCAACAGACAAAAAATCAGTTTCTTCAAATGCGCCACCCATCACTCAAGCCATAGCTGATCATCACAATGTTCCTCCTGTGTTGTGGTGTGGAGCAGAATGGGCTTGCCTAGTGGCTGAGACAGCCTCTTTTACTTCATTCTGCAATGAACTGGTAACACAAAGAATCTGTTTCTACCACTTACTTGCAGGGTATCGACTTCTAAACGTGTTAATAGAATTGTTTATGATCTGGTAGGCAAAGACTATCATAGAAGACATTGCAAACAGAATAACCAAATCTCATCCTACCTCAGACAATTTTTACCATAACCTCAGAAGAATAATCCACAAAACTTTGCTTAGTTATTTTTTAAAAAGTGCTAACAAACAAATGATAGAAAAAAAAAAAAAAAAAGAGGAACTACTTAATGATAGCATGGAAAGGAAGTTCCAATGTTCCAATGGAGGACTTGAGTTTTTGGATTATTAAATCAATGCATGCACCTCCACAATCACTGAGAAGATTGTTATTGGCCCATAGAACATCTTCTCTCTGGTTACTTTCCTTTTGTTTATTTAAGTCTTTGTGTTAATTTCCAATTTTTTACTTTTTGGGTTTGTTAGTTCTGTGGAAATGCAAATGTAACTTTTAGTTCAGAAATCCAAATTATAAAGCAACAACAAGAAGAAATTAATAAACCAATCCAGCTTACATAACATGCGATTTAATTTTGATCCTGATTTGCATACCTTTTGTGACAGCAATACAATGTCTAGATGAAAGCTAGACAGGTAATATAATGCTTAAAATATTTCTGGCCTACTTCAGAGCTTAAGGACTGATGTTTAAGTACACCGTTTTAAAAGACAAAATAAGTAATTCTTGTCACTTAAGAGTAGAAGAGACTGACAAATGAAAGGATGGAACCCAAAATATAAGGCAAATAGTATAGAAGAGAATTGAGAAGAATTGCAAAATTCTTTACAGCAAGGAACTTTAACAAGCATAATACACCTGAAAAACTACATAATCACAATGAGCATAAACTATAACTAACACATGACTTCACAATTTACTGCATTAATACCCTAATTAGCAAATTCTAATCAATAAGAAGGAACTATACTACATGAGCACTATCAATATCCTTTAAAATAAATTCCATTTTGAAGTGTAAAATGAGTTAAAGTCTGCTAGGAAGAGCAGAACAGGCAAAGCAGTGCGTCAGGCAGCACTCTACGGGAAAGCCAAGATTACATTTTTATGGTTATTTCTCACTTAGTGATTGTAATGGTCTACAGGCCAATGACAATTATCAGATTATATGCATGTCAACATGTGTAAAAAAGAAGACATACCATCAAGTAATACAAATGCTAACAGATACAGTATTCAACATAGATTGCTATTTACTTCTGAAGTAAAAAAAAATAAGCAGAGAAACACAAAATGGGAAATCTCAGAAAGAATTCTGGAGGACCCAAATACAACAATTTGATGTGAAAAATACTGATGAATAAATGGAAAAATGGAAAAGGAGAGTCAGCAAATTTTAAAAGTTATTAAGTGCACAAAGTTGGTATGAAAAACTGACAGCACTAATGCTGAAAAAAAACTTAGGTATATAAGAACAAGTTTTCCAGTAATAGGAAAGACCAAACAGGAGACAGAGAGAGTAAAAAGACTGTTAACGGAATGCGGAAGTTTCAAGAAATGCTTCTACTCTATGTTTGGAAAAAACCAAGATGGATAAAAACCACACATTGTATAATACATCTTCAAGCCGAATAGCAACTAAAGATCTGTTAAGTAAAAACAGATTAGAAAAAAGACAAATTGTGAGACTTTGCATCTCTGTACTCTTGAAAAAGTATCAAGAAACTTGCTGCTGTTCAATTTTTATACAGTTTGGAATGCTACAGAAAATCAAGAGTGGTAATATTTTTAAAAAATCTTTTTGTAACAAGTAAGACTAGTAATACAATAAACTTCTATACACCGTATTACAGAAGGGCAGTCCTGCAAAACAACCCTGACTTCACTTGATTCAGAGAAGACAACACAATAAAGCTAAAAGTCTAAAATCTTTTCAGTGACAGAAACTGATTTATTAATTCAAAGAACCATGCTGAAATGAAAGGCATTTGGGAGAAAAATCCCCATTGACTTCTAGATATCATATAATGGTATTCAGTGGAGAAAATTAAAGACTTTATATTTTCTTAATTGCTATAGGAGGCAAAACTTTACAAAAGTGTGCAAGTGAATTAAAGTTGTAAATGTAACCAAGTTGCTTACAAGTGATTATTCCAAGTTGTATGAATTTAGTCATTATACTCCTTAATAATAACATTGTTAAAGAAATAAAACATAGCACAGTTATGAAGTAATTATGACCATTTATACAATACTATCAAAATTTTTAAAAAAAGGATTCTTTAAAAGCTTAAAAGTATGTTTCATCATAAATTTTAAGATTTACTTTTGCTTCTGAAAATAGATGTTTGATATAAAAAAAGTATTCAATGTTGTAATAATTGTATATTTTTATGTCAAATTTCATGCAGTATTATCAATACAAACTATTGGTGAGCGGTTCTAACCCTAGTGAACTAAAATATGGAGCTGTGGCACAATCTAAACGGTGTGTATTTTTTCTCAGCAGGTCACCTTAAGTATGGAAAAATAAAGCAAATTAAGAACAGCCTAATTAACTGGCCAGCAGATTCAATACTTGCCATATTATCACAGTAAAACTATATTAGCTTTATGTAATGAAGCCACATTGATCCTATATATTTTTTCCAATATGCAACAATCTGAGATTTAATATTGTAAAACAATGTATTAAAATCAATATCGAAGCAAAGCTCATGACATATTTTTATGTTTGCAATATTCTGGAGTCACAACTGGATTAAAAAACCGAATGTAGCACAGAATAACAAACAGTATTAAAAATGCTGCTGGTTATGCTGACAACTCAGTTTTGGAGTTGTCTTATCTGGTATAAGATGACCTTCTTACAGCACATATCTCAAAAGACTTTTAGAACATAGCACACAGAGAAGCATGTTGTACTAGAACACATTGTGTTGACTTCAGTGGGAAAAATTTTATTGCATCCACTAAATATTTTCTATTTAAAAGAAAATCTACTGCCTTTATAACACTCCCGCCAAATCCAACACCTTCAAACATGAGGAGTTCCAAAACACAGATTAAATTTCCAAAATCAAGTGTTTTTAGAACTGGCATCAAACTATCATGGACTTACCCAACTCATCCACACACTTCACTAAGCTTCAAATTTCTTGACTGATCATTATGTGTACAATGCAATCTCATAAATTTAGGTTTACGATATTACATAAGCTATCTTCTAGATAATTTATTCCTCCTAATCATCAAATCTTCCAACATAAGCTTGCAGGTCTATGGGCCTTAAACTTCAGTGCACTTGAGCAGCATCAAAACATGTTCAAGTTGTTTCAGTAGACATGTATGACTGCCTGTGGTATTGTATCCTGCAATCGTTGTGTTTATTGTCCCATTTCCTACCGAAAACCCTCAAAGACTATATACTGACCGTAACAGAGGAGAAAGAAATTAACTGGCGTGCAACAAAAAAACACTGAGTATAACCAAAAATAAAGTTTCTTTTCATGACATTTTGACTAAAATAATGCAAACGGTTAAAGAACATTAACAATTCATTGTATTGAAAGCAAGTCCTGAAGGAGACTAACAGTGCCAGCCACGTGTTTCCTGTTTCTGTCACCATTTTGGTTCAAAGCCCTGTTTAAAAAGCAGACACTGCAGCACTTAATAATAGGTTGCCATTGGGCAAATTTGTTCTCTTTTGATATCAAGTGGCATTACACTGATGTCTGTTGGACATAAGCCATTCACCTCATATGCATTCAAGTAAAAAGTAACTATAAGAAGTGTTTGCCTCTGAAATATGTGCAACCACACAGAAGTTCAAAATAGTTCTGTTTCAGATACTGATACTTCCAGTGCTGAGTCCAGTTATCCTCAATTTTATTAAATGAAAGAAAACCGGACACAGATTTTTTTGAGGTCAGTAAATCATTCCAAATGCATCTTTTTAGGTTAACAGTATTACGGTTCACCAAAATACTCAGGGAAAAGCAGTAATCATTGGCAATGTACTGAACTCAAGATACAGAACTTCCATTAAGAAATGCAGTTGTGTGGTTGTAAGGCTCTGTGGGGCCTAATACACATATGTATAAGGAGTGCAATATCAAACAATAAATCAGGAACAAGTAATAAATATATCTTGTGGAAATAAGAACTTCCAGAGTCCCAGAATCCACTCTCCTCCAAAATTTACTCCTATGTTTATTTGGTTGCTTGAGCAATAGTCATCATCCTATTTCAAAGTCCATCTGTCAGAAAAATATTTCTTCTTTCCATCCCAAGAATAAAGTCCTACCATGAAAGACACATCACCTCAAGACTTCAGGCAGCATAACTCAACTATGGCCTACTACCAGGTTTCTCAGACATGTAAGGATCGAAACTTTGAAGTCGAGATCACCCATCTTCTAAGAGAAACTTCAGAAGGAGCGAAGGGTCCCAACTTCAAATTCACTTAACTTTCCTGTATCTTTTACATTTACCATATTTGACTTGACATTCATACTTGACAACCACTTTGCCTTTTCT